GTTTGGCTTTACTTACTTTTAACTATATTTTTCTTTTCCTTCGGAAGAGTCTAAAGAAAGTTTTTCAGATGAGGAGAAAGGATACACTAATAAGAATCTTTTCGCAGATAGGTATTAGAATCAGAAACTGTATCTGAAACTTTAGCTCCAACAAAGTAGCCCAGTGCTCCTTCAACTTGCTCCCCAAAGGAAGTCAAGCTGTAGTTTACATACCTATCAGAGTGACTGGAGAGATTGCTCAGTGGTTAAAAGCACTGGATGCTCTTTCCGAGGACCTAGGTTCGATTGCCAGCATCAACATGGTAGTTAACATCCATCTGTGACCCCAGTTCCAGGGGATCTGATGCCCTCTTCTGACCTCTGCAGACATTGCATGACACAGGTGTACTTACATACATGCTTGCAATACACTCAAACACATAAAAAATAAGAACAATAAATAAAATATTTAGAAAACAGATGTTCATGAGAACATTGTTCTTCAGTCTTCTGAGTTATCATCCTTTTGTAATATCTTTGACTTGTCTTTGTGTTAACCTACTTGCTTTTCATACAAAGTGGAACTGAAGCACGGCAAATCTGTTAGATAACCTTACCTTCAAAGAGTCCTTCTATCTCCAGTACCTCACTGACTTCTGGGATGGTTCACAATGTTCTCATGATGATGGAATTGTCACCATGTTTCACAACCCAAGATTTAAAAATCACTATTTCTTGCAGAATCCTCATCCATCATTCTAGAGGGAAAAAAGTGAGTTATTTCAATATCTTGAATTTGCCTGAGGGTTGAATAACAATAAAAATATGAACTTGTCGGAGAGACTCTTTTAAAGGTAGTTCTGAGATCTGTAGAACTTCAGCTGATTGCTGAAGAGAGCTGACAAGAGAAAGACAGGTTCCACATTCAGCTGTTAGTAGTTGAAAGGCTGCAAGTTAAACAAGTAATTAGAGACCAGGACTAATCTTAAAGGGAGGCTAACTCCACTTAGGACTTTGGCTCCATCATTAGGGCATTTAGGAACAGTTAAAAAGAGCTAGGAATTCCAGAATGATTGACATTTTTTGAAATATTCTTAATAAGGAGAATGAATTTGCAAAGATAAAGACTGGAAGAAGGGTTCCAAAAGACGTTGAATAGACATTATTTAACATATGAGATTAATTTTACAAAGAAGTGGGGGAAAAACAGTGTTTCTACATAACATTTGTATAATCCAAGAGACTGCGAAAAACTCACAAATTTTAGTATATCATTTATATTATTTGATATAGATTTCCAATCTTTAAATCTGAGTACAATATACAAGTGTACTATCTGACCAGTTTCTCAAAGTGAATATATCTATGCCACAAGTTAAATTATAAGCTAATCTACCAATAATCCACAAGGAGCCTTGTTATTCTTCCCAAGTGTAACTATCATAACATCAGTCCCTTTGGAATTTTTCAAACAAATTACTCTCCGAAGAAATGAGCAATCATAAACCTATAAATTTTCACATGGAAAGAACCTCAAATATTTTCTAGTTCAGTATATTTGTACCTCATTAAAACAATGGGAGGGAACTCATGGGTGACATTGTAAATACAACCAAATACACATGACTGGAGAGGTCATAGATCCTAGAGAAAACCCTATCTCTGTTATATCTCTAGAAAAATGAAATTTCTTACCATATGCTAAATATGAATCCTTATATTTACAGACGAATGTACCATATACCACTAATCAAAGAAACTTCTTTTTGCAACAGATGGAGGCTATTATAGAGTTTCACAACGAGTCACACAAAGAATATATGTCTGAGAGATGCCCAGCCCTAAGTGACACATTTACAGAGCCTTTACATCTAAGGCTCATGAAACAGTGAAACAGGCAGTAGAGGGAATACTAATACATCCCTCTGCTCTCACCAGCTAAGTTTCCTCAGACAACAGAGTGTGATGCACCCAGAAGGCCACAACTGGCCAAGTTTCAGAGAATAAGAGACCGCAGTGTGTGTCCCTGGATAGGACTCCTATATCCAACCTCATCCATCCATGGCTCAGGGACCATTGTGGAAGAGGGGGTGGAAATATTGTAAGATCCAGGGTTGGTGCATGAACATAAGGAAACAGAGGCTTTCAGGCCACTGGAAACTTGTTCATGTGAACTTACAGCATTGCTTACAGCAAGAAGAAGACCCATGCTGACTCAATCAGACAAAAATCCAGCAGAGAACAGGAGAAATGGGCAGCAGGACCCAACCTTAGTCAAGGAACTATTGGCAAATGATTACGGGGGGGGGGGGGGGGGGAGAGTAGATCTTCTTTAAGGGAGTGACTCTAGATAGGCTGACTAGACTCCAGTGGATAAACTTGCACCAAGGGTCACCTGGATAGTAATTCTTGACTGGATAGACTTAACATATATGACATAATACCTGAAATATGGTTGGGGAAGTATGGGGAGGGGGTATACATTTGGTTAAGATGTATTCCTTGAAGTTCCTAAAACTCAAGAAAGATATTAAAAATGAAAAAAAATTAGTGTATAATAATTTCTTCACAAAAACTGCATAAATACCACATATAGCCCCTGGGTGTAATATAGATTGTATTAGAACTTCTTCAATTGAATCAGAATTAGAAATGGGGAGTTTTGATCTAGAAGCTTCCTCCCCACTGAATATTTTTCATAGTACCAGAAGATGCTAATCAGGCTGCTGGGGGAGAAAAAGCATCATCATTAGATCTTATTCATCTGTGGACATTGTGTGCTACAATATCAACTTGCCAGGAAAGATGTGCCCACTGCATGATTGTTGGGGGGTAACCAAGCATTTTCTAAATGGAGTTGAGGCCCACTCTGTGGGTGGGGGATATATACAAGCACCGTAAATCTGGTCAAAAGTCCATACAGGTCCTAGGGAGGAACTTTCTAGTGATATTTTGCTGAGTGGATATGTAGCCAAACTACCTTCTAATATTTATGTTTGTCTACTTAAACTAAGTGTTGCTCTCAGCCTTGGCCAGGGAAGTTTCTGTTTGCAGTGGGCAGTGCTTTACACAGAGACTCATAACTGGTCAAAGTGCTGAAAATAAGTGACTGTTTAATACTCAGCCCTAAGTGGAACATCTTTATCACCTCCAGGTTTCAGGGATCATCTGGAAGTGTGAACAGAAAGATTGAAAGAGCTGGAGAATGGAACTATGGGATCAGTAGGCATGGAAGAAGTGAGGAGGGTTATTGGGTGGGGAATATTATCACACTACCTTGTATACAAAATTGTTTAAAAATTAATCTAGAGATTGTGGTGTCTACCCAGTGCATATCTCCTTTCAGTCCAGATATTCCCTCTCTGTTCAGTTTGGTGGACTGAAACTGTGTCTCAGTGTCCCAGGGCCAGATCCATTTCCCTTTCCTCCTCCTCTTTTTATTGAATGAGGTTGAAGCTTAACCTGTTTGATTTTTCTAATGAGTATGTGACTAAATTTGTCTTTGCTCCATAGAGTCATGTTGCCTGAGAAACGGCTCTCAAGGATAAACAGTACTGTGTTATAGAATTTATAACTTGAAAAGGAGGAGTTATAGAACACGGAAAAAAACCCTTTCGGACTCGGAAAAAAGAATTTTAGTGTGTTGGCTGCCCTATCTTATGTACATGTGATGGTTAATCTTGTCAGCTTGATTTGATTGAGAAACACTTAACAGATTAGTAAAGGGCATTTATGAGTATACCTATGATGGCATTTCCAGGCACTATTCCACCCTGAGGACTCTGACCTAATGATTAGATTAATGATCCCTAGATGGACTCAGAATATGATGAAATAATTGGTAGTAAAAATGTGAGGTGGGATTTCTTAGAGGAAATAGGCAGGTCGATTATGACCTTGGGGCTGGATTTCACACTGGACCCTTCACACATTCTCTTTTCCCTGCTTCCTGGCTATCGTGATGTGAGCTGTTCTGTTCTACCACATCCTCTATATTTTGACAGACTGATGGCTATGAACCATTGAGACAAAATGAATCATTCTTTCTTTCAGATTTGTCCATCATGCATTTGGTCACAGTGGTGAGAAAAATACAGGGCATGTTTAAAGCTGACAATTGATTCATTCTTTTCTAGTTTATAAGTGACTCCTAAGAACATAATCGTTTAAATGTGTGCTTTCGACTTAACGCCACTGAAAACACTCAATGCAATGGTGGTGGAACAGCCATCTCTAGCCTTCTACCGTCTTTTTAATGAGGACAAATGTAGCAGTATACTGGAACTAAAACTATGACTAATTAAAAAGAAAAAAATCCTTTAAGGATCAAAAGAGATCATTCTTAGCTATAGGGTAGGAAAATCAACTTGATGGATACTAAAATTTTGTTACAGTTCCATTTCCAGAAGAAATAAAATTATTGGATTACTATATTAACATTGTATTTATTTTGAAGCTGTTTCATGGACTATCTAAGAAAGTCAACTGGAGGAAAATCTAGTTTAATTAATGGAGTTTCAATGAACTATCACTACTAGTGTCTGCTAATCGGACAAAGGCAGTCAAATTGAGGCAATCTGAATGCTAGTTTTAACATGTGAATCATTTCCTGAAGCAAGGTGCAAAGGCAGGCAGGAAAGACATGTTTATCATCATGTCAGAGAACTGAGTTTTATATTAATGTGGTCCTTCAAATCTGTGTTTTTCTCACATACGAAGTTTAGTAAGAGGATCCAATAGCAAAGATTCATGAAATTGTTTTACATATCAGATATTTCTGCTTTATGTGAATATATCTACTTGCTTTAGTGTTTTTATTAGATGGTCCAATGTTACCCCCACTGAATTCTTTAAAACAAATTGTTGAATTCATTTTATATTATACTATTTCAGGAAAGAGGCTTGTATTATAGAGCTTTTCTACACTGTTATAGTTACACTGTTATATGTGGTATCTTCATTATAATATGATAGCATATTAACTCTGTTATTTGCTTCATCTGGAATTAAACACAAATAAGTTCAAAAGTAATTATTTTTTTATTTCAACTCTATAAAGTATACAACAGGCACTCTGCAATTACAGCTGCAGGAAAAATACAAAGCAAATCAAAGCAGGTTAAGTTTATGAAAAGTTTTTAATCTACATCAAAAGAGTGCAAGTGGTCAGTGACCATTTGATGACAGTTTGTTGCATTCTAACAAAGGACTCTTTCATGTAGAACAAATTGTAAGAGGACAATCAGATAACCATAGCTGTAAGAATACAAAAGAACTGACCATTTGTAAAAACATCATACATTTAAAATAAACTTGATAAATGATGCTTAAAGAAATGTTCCTTTACTCAGAAAGCCCAAACCTCTGAGTCATGGTCAAGGTCCCAGAGCTCTGTCTGTTGATGCAGGGGCAGAAAAAGAGGAGGGCTAAACAACATACTTTCAATGTTTTGCTTTCAAGGTCTGTTAAAAACTTGCCTCATACACGATTTGCATACACAAGAACTCGGAGAAAGCATCCTGTTTTGTTGAGTGGTGCACCAAGATACATTTTCATCACTGATTTCATAATGAAGTGTGGTTAGCAGTCATTTTCAATTTTTGCTTTCGATTGGACCAATGTTGACGGTGTCTACAAAATGAGATGCGTTAGAACTTGACTGCACTATTCTTTATTTACTGAATCTGCACAGCTTAGCAAAACAGGAATACCTGTATACAGACTGATAGTATGTCATATATTAATTTGACCTGCACGTACACTTATACATTTCACAGAAATGACGCTGTATCTCATTAACAGATACACAGCTCTGGTACATTTAACAGAAATAAGATAACAACTTCATCATTTCTGTAATCATCAATATTATATAATAAAGGCTTATAAATCGTTAGCAGAAAGAACTGTAAAACGCAGCAAGCTAAGAAAGGACAACATTTTGAGGTGTGTTTGTCTTTATCATGCAGCATAACACCAAATTTGTTTTTTTAATAAGATGCCATGAATTTAAGGCACTTGCAACAATGCCAGATAGCCAGGTCTATACTACAGGACAGATGAATAACAGTACTGTTGACATAATTTTCAATAATACTGACAATTATGACATTGATTCAAGTCTACTTGGACCTAAAACATTATTTAATACAAATAAAATGAAATAATAATGCTGTGAAACACTAAAAAAAGTTATATGTTACCACAAAATATCACACAAAAATATTATTTACATAAATATTTGTTGTGGTCCTATTGTGAAAGAGAACGTTGTTATGGATAATGCACAGAACATCTCTGCTTTGTATAAAGTTGGTTTTGATACCTCTGTGTTCAATCTGGTAGCTGACTTTAAGTTCATCATCAGTTCTGTTATTTAGAAATGAAGTGAGAAAGATTAGCTCAGATATTCTACATGTGTAATTCACATGTACATTCTATAATATAAGAAAAAGTATGATTTGTGAAGATAATAATCAAAGTAAATTTCTTTTAACTGCTGTATGAATCTGACCCACATCTGAATAACAAGGTAATAAATTTAAAGAGCCAGAGATGAGAGTTTTTTAGGAATCATTTTCTCTAATGTGTGAATTCAATCTACCCAAAATATGATGATGTTCCTTCCTTGGCAGTTTTCAGTTTTCTGTGAGTTATGACACACAGAAAGCCCTATTTCCCACACTGAAACATGTTAGCAAGAAAGTCAGTTAGCAAATCGAACAAATTGGCACTATTCTAATTTATCCGAATGGTCTTTAGTGCAAGGAAATAAAACAGGGAACATGAAAAGGTAGAAAGTAAGATGTATTTTGTGAAGCTGATCATGAATTATAGCCCTAGTGTCTTCATTAAAGACAAGATTTAAATTCTTAAAACTCAGTGTGAAAATCTGATGAATGTTTTCTGTTAGCGATTCTTGGAAGATACAGTTCACCTTTATTTTTGGCGATTGCTTTAGACATTCTAATCAATGCTGTGGGTGAAATGAACAAAGATGTAGAACAGGTGGAGAAACAGCCCGTAGACACACTGTGATGAACGCTACTTCCTTCTCCTTCACAGAACACATGTATGCATGGGTTGTCTTAGACTTGAACCACACTCCTAAAACACACCGTCAGTGGTGGGGATTTGAGGGGATTTGAAAAGTTGTAGAGGCAGAGGTACTTTACAAATGACAAGACAACCTGAATATTCCAAAAAGATTTTAGCATATCTAAGCCACACTATCTTTCAACTAATGTTTTTGTACACTGATGATAATGTTGGAATTCTATGTTTTAAAACCCAATTAAAAGAAAAATAAATTTGAACTAGATTTTAGATTGATGTTTAATTTTACATTAATTGTCAAAATCTTCAGCTGTCTTGGGGAATAGATTACTCTTGAGAAATTGCTCATGAAGATGGAAAAACTCTAATACAATAACAATAATACCAGGACCAAAGTTTTAATTGCACTTTATTCTAATTATATGTACTTTCAGTAGTTTTAACGTTTAAAAGTTTTTAGAGTATTATATTTTGATAAGATAACATATTCTAAAGTAGTTTTGAGAATGAAAAAATCAAACAAAACATGATTTATTGGCTAGGCTATAGAGATCTAATAAACATTTTTTTGGTCTTTTTGAAGTAGGGTCTCCCTGTAGCCCCAGCTGTCCTGGAACTCATTATGTAGACCAGGGTGGCCTTGAACTCACAGAGATCCACCTGCCTCTGCCTCCCAAGTGCTGGGACTACAGGCATGTGCCACCATATTTTTATAGAAATTTCTACATTAGATTAAAAGAATCCCTCTGTAAAAAAGAGAAAACTTTATTCACACACAGTTGCACATCAGGATGACATTTGGGAAGGATCTACATTTGTCTGTGTAGGTATAATGCTACCTGTCCGGAAAAGCTCCTGGAAGGCTCTACTACTTACGAGAGCCAGCAATGGTCAGCTGACTGCCAACAATAAACTCAGTTGCATCTGATGATTCTTTTCTGTATGTGAAAAAAGACAAGAGTTTGATATTTTCAAGTCGAGTTTTTTGACTAATGTGAAATTTTGGGATTGTAGTTTCTCTGTTCTACTTAGATAAATCTAAATTAAAAAAATCAGTTCTCTGGTTCCTTTTCTAACTCCTTCCTACTTTGGTAAGCATCAGCTTATCCAGGGGAAGACATTCAACACCTGGCCAGGATCTTTTCTTCCTCCCTGACCTCAAATAAAAAAAGGTCCCAGGTCTAGTAAACTTTAATGCCTATGACTTCGTGCCTTCAAACTTTTTTATTTTTGTCTGTTTCGGTTCAGGCCTAAGACAAGAAACTAGTTTGAATCCATTTTAAAAAACCCTTCTCTCTCAACCTGGGCTATGTTGTAAAGGTGATGTCTGACAGGAATTTGGTTCAATGAATTTAGTGAGAATGCTTGTGTCTCTGGCTAGACATGTAATGATTAGAATTTGTGTCATCCATTCAGACACTGACGTTACAGATGAAAGATATACATAGCACCTATATAGTTTTCATTTTTATTTTTTGGATAGGTCTTCCTTCCTCCCCACCCTATCCCACCCCTGCCCCAAGGGTTTATTTTTATAAAAGGGCATATTTTAAGCCTCAGTTGAGGATATGTTAGGTAATAAATAAAGCCAATTCGCTGCTAGTCATTTCCAGGACCACCTTTAAGCACAGCATTTTTTAAAAATATGAAATGATGTTGTGAATTCTTTTTTTATTCCTCACTTTGTCATGCCAATTTCTCAAAAGAAACAAGAAATACCACGGACTTTTTTCAGTCCTCTGAAAAACACATGTCTATTCGCTCTGGGAGGCTTTGGCAGACGCCACAGCAGTTGTGCTTTTTTCTTATCAATGTTTAAAATCTGTCAGAAAGAAAAGGTAACATTCAGTCTTGTCATCAGCACTGCTGGGAAATAAAATCATGAAACTTCGAGCACTGGTTTGACATGAACTCTGTGACCCACAGATGTGTGGTCCTTTTTGTATGATATACACACCGGTGTGCAGTCACAGATTTCACACGCTTCCCTTGATGAAAGGGAATAGCCCAGGTTCTGTACCACAGTCATCTATCGTACCAAATATATTATTCTCCCATCTTCTTCATAATTCAGGCAAGATACAGACTCTTCTACTAGATTGAAGTGTTTCCTACAGACTTTCAAAATATAATCAGAGCAAAGCAAGATCATTGCAATAATAGAAAACATCATTTTACTGTGAAAGGCTTTGCTTCAGGACACCATGTCAACTGCTATTTTAGGTTCAAACATAAAACATGTAAAGAGCACTATCGTCATCTAAGCAATAAGTTCTAATGCCACTGTAGTTACTGGAGCAGCATCGATCAAAGGCATCATGGTGACCCCGAGCACTAATCTTCTCTCTTTCCCTCAAGTTTGCTGGCAGCTGTGTCTCAGAAGAAGCTGTCTTCAGCAAGGCAGAAGCAGGTAAGAGAAATGCATTAGAAGTCTATGTCCCAGCCTGAGTTGTCATCAGGTGGTGGTTCATCACTATCCTCAGGGAAACTGTCAAAATTGCTTGTGTCTGTGGGTGACGCAACCTGTGACATGAGAGAATGAACAGCAAGAGGCTTTTTATATTTTTATAGAATTCCGGGCTAGAACTTTATCTTCTTTTACTGAAAGAATAGTTCTTAAGTTATTTTTAAACATATGCACAAACATAAAACTGTATATATTAACAGGGTACATGTAAAATTTGATAGATGCATATATTCAGCAATATTTAAATCAGATTAAACATAAGTCTCCTTAAACATTTATAATTTCTTTACTGTGAAAACTTCCCAAATCCTTTCTTCTAGCTTTTAAAAAATAAAGCATATTATTACTGTTATCTTTAGTCCCCTACTATGTAATAGCATATTAGCTCTTTCTGTCCCTGTCAAATGTAGTACCTACACATCAACTAGTCTCTCCCAATCCTTACTTTCTCCAGTCTCTGGTAACCACCATTCTCCCAACTTTTGTAAGAGCGACTTTCTATAGATTACACGAGTGTGTTCTGTTTGCTCTGTACATATCTTTCTGTGCCTGACTCATTTATCTGAAGAAAACGATCTTCAGTTCTATCGAAGTTGTTACAAATGACAGGATTTCATCCTTTAATGCAATGGTACTATTCTATCAGGTATACATATCACATTTTCCATTCCTATTAGACTAGCCTTTTAAAGAGCATTTTTATTCATTCTCCATTCAAAGACAATTTTGGAACATCTACTATTAATGAGTATTTTGGTTTAAATTTAGGATAAATAATAGGAATAAAAATAGACATCATTCTTATCTTCCAAGGGTATCACTATATTGTGATGCATAGTATTACATTGTAGTAATAAATTGTGTAAATTAAACAGATAATCATAAAAATCTATATGAATTATAAACCATAGCCAGTGCTATTCAAAAAAGACTACATGGTGCTATGAAATATGAGTGATCATAAAATACCTCTTTGAAAAAATATTATTTTAGCCTAAGAATCTATGGTTCAATAAAGAGGGTATGGTACCCACCAAGGACCTGAGAGGGGTCCAAGTTCCAAAGAGGCTGCTGCATGAGGGGAATGGAACAGGATAGGGTAAAACCACAGAAGGGTGCAGAAGCAAGATACAGGGCCTGACTGGCCATACTGAAGATAATGTGCGTTTATAATAAAAGTATGATGAAAGTATCTTAAAAGTAAAATGATGTTCATTCTAAGTATAATAAAAGTTTAGAGTTTTGCTCTACAATTGAGCAAAATTCTTACAAATTTTCTGTGCTAAATCCAATATGCAGAGCATTAACACAAACTCATGTGATTATTCCCACTGTATTAAAAGTCCCCTTTATAAATTAAGGTAGGATAATATAATTTAGATTTAACATCTTGCTCTTCCAGTTTTTTTTCACTGCTCTTATTCTGAAACCAAAACTTCATTAATGTTATTGGGATCTGTGATGTGAGATGTGGCAATAGTATTTCTATTTTGCTTCATGACTGAAAAAATTAGCAGAGAAATAAAGGGAAAATGTTTTTATGTACAAAGAAATATTGAATTAATCCTAGAAAGAAACATACAAATGAATGTCATAGGACCACAAATCAACTTCTTACTCTTTAACTAAAGTGCAGGGGGTTTTACTAAGTAGGGTCAGTACTGGTGAAAAATATAAATTGAATCAGTTGAAGTCTATTTCAGGTAATGTGTTTACAGTCCCCTTGATGAACTGTTTTTTGCTTTTTGTTTTTAAGAAAATCTTATGTTAAGTAAAGACTTATCTTTTATATACTAAAAGAAAGAAGAAAGAAAACATGACTTCAAAGTCACATTGTGGTAACGCAAGAGGAACATTTGGCGGTGTAAATGAAACAACACTGCCAATTCTTTGTAATTTATCTACAGATGCACATAGTTAACACGCATTGTACAAAAGCTAACATGTATCAATAATACAAATTTGAATTCAAATGAGGAATCTAAACATATGAAGATAAAAATGTATAATAATCATCCCAAAATTTGTCTGTATTATTTAAGTTTGGATATTAGAAATTATTATTATTTGACTGTGGTGCTTTATACTTTTGTAATCTGATCATAATAAAACTCTAAAAATAACAAATTTTTGTTGATTTAAAAATACCATAAAATATGTGACAGTTATAAGCTGAAAACTCTACTTACACTTGGTATAATGGGAGGTGTCAAGGTACCTTTTCTTAAGCCTTCCCAATTAAAGCCCTCAAACCATCTAAGAAACAAAAACAGAAGATGATTAAAGGTATTGTATCTCTGCTAAAATGACCTCATCACATGTTTGATATACATGATAAACAGAAAGTGGTTAAACAAACATTTTCATATGATAAAATGTCTTCCATTTAATTGCCATCTTTTTTTTTCTTCATACAGTCTAGGATGGCCACAGATTTGCAATGTATGGGGCTGGAGAAACGGCTCAGCGGTTAAGAGCACTGTATGCTCTTGCAGAGGACCTGGGTTCAATTCTCAGCACCCACATGGCTGCTAACAACCATCCATAATTCCAGTTCCAGGGGATCTGATGCCCGTTTCTGACCTCTGCAGGCATTGCACGACATGGGTACACTTACACATATGCAGGCAAAATACTCATATACATAAAATAAAAATAACAAATAAAATATGAAAAGATTTGCAATGTAGCTGATTATGACCTTGAACGACTGCCTCCACTCCTGTGTTGGGACTGCAGATGTATGCCACCATACCTGGCTCAGTTGTTTTCAATGAACTTGCTTTATAAAATGATTAAAGTCATTAAAATAATTTTAAAGGTACATAGAGTATAATTGTCAAATTTAAATACCAACTTACCATTCAATCTTTTTTTCTTATAATTTCAATCATGTTTGCATGCCTGTGTTCTTGCACTAATTTAATAGATACATAATGTGCTTAGCTCTATGCCTTACGTGAATATTTCCATATTTGCCACTGAATCCCTGTGCCAGTGGCAGCTGGTGTAGAAGATTGGAGACACAGTTTTACATTGTACACTGCAGTCTCAGGAGGTCTTTCAAACACACACCTCTATTCAGGTGAAAATAGGATTCTTGACTTCACTAAGAAGGAAGTTCAGATAAGCCAGTATGAAGCAGAGCTAGATTTTGTTAGAAATATATTTTGATATAAATTTAGGCATGGGGGTGACTAGAAAGAGAGACACTTGGAAAGAATAAGACTCAGATATGGATGTGAGATTCTCAAGAGTAGTTCTAAGCATCTTAGCAATAGTCATATATAAGATTTCTGTAGCTTTCAAGTTGCATTTCAAAACGTTGCTAAGAAATGTCTTCCCTTACCCCTTTCCCCCCTTTTTTGGGGCCTTTTTTATTTTGGTGGAGGGTGACAGCATCTCCCAGTAGCCCCAGCTGGCCTGGAACTCACTATGTAGACCGGACTGGCCTCGAACTCACGGAGCTCCACCTGCCTCTGCCTCTGGAGTGCTGGGACTAAAGGTGTGAGCCACCACGCCTGGCTTCCCCTCTTTTTGATAAATGAGATTACAGGGTGGCCCCAGGGATACCTTGGTTAGGATTACAATCTGATAAGGTAAAACATGGATCACAAAGGTTTTCACAAAGGAATTTAGACATGTCTCCTCATAAAAATGGAATATTTTATGAGAGTCTTATAAAATTGTAGGCATATAGAAGGGAATGTTGAAAAGTCATATACAACTTAGGTTTTAAGTATGATTTGCTGCTATTTTACCATTCTTGTCTGAAACATCTCTGGAGGGAATATTGTCTCCCTCCAGGTACCTTCGCAGGAAGTGCTAGAGTCCTTGACTCACTTGTGAGATAATTTGACCAGATCTGGGGGTGGGGGGCTCCTTTCCCTTTCCATGGACCCTAAAATTTCCTTGCCTTTATATCTTACTTCAATATGACAAGAAAATGGTGCAGAGTACAGTCTTTTTCAGATAGCACCAGAATCTTCCACATTAGAACTAATTCTTGTTTCCTGCATTTTCTAAAAGCTAACTGAACTCACATTTGTTTTTGTCTCTTGGTTTGTTTGTCTAACTGTCCCAGAAATTTACAACCTTATCAAAGGAATTTATCTACTGAAATACTTATGAATATGCCAAAGACCTGCTACGAATTTGACATAAGCATTTGATAATGGCAGAAAACCCTTTTAAAACAAAAACCAGAACAAATCACACAAAAACTTTTGTGCTTCAGCAGGTGGGCCTCATCTAATAGGCAAATAACATTCTTTCTATTAAAGAAGGGAAAGATGAGGAAAATGGGATAGGAAGAGACACCTATAGTGATGGGAAAAGTCTAATTAGCTAAGGCTGCATATTTGTTACCTGGGTCCTTTCACTTCAGTGTTCTGACTACAGACTCAAGTAGTATTTAATAAGTGCCCCTGGCACTTATTAAAGAGAGGAGTCCATTAGCACTACCCACACCCTATTCCTGGGGCAGATGGAGCAATAGCTAGTTTTCTAGAAGGTCATCAACATCAAGACTGACCCACTGTTTTCCAAAGCTACTGTTGTGCTTCCAAAAGAGTTGCCCAAAAAACTCATTTTCTAAGTTTTAGGTAAAGAGAAAGGAATCATCCAGTAAGAAAAAGACATAGAAAGTTATAGATATGAAATTTTTGGTAAAGAAGCTTATAGATAAAAGAAAATGCTTTTTATGACAAAAGATTTCAGAGAATAATTTTTCTCTAAAGTAAAGAATGGAAATTGAAAAAAAAAGGAAATTGAGACAATAAGGACAAAACCAGGAAGCTTAAGAATATTTTAAATGGTTCAAATCAGTCATAAAAAGATTTATGGAAGAAGAAAAACTTACAGACAGATGGTTTGATGTGATCAAGTTTATTATAATTAAAGACTTTTAAATGTTTGGGATCATGTTTTGCTTGGTTTTTATTTCATCAATCAATTTCCTCCAGAAATTAGGAGGAAACTGCAAAACCAGGCAGTGAGACCTACATGTTCCCTTAGATCAACTATTAAATTTGGCTTTTAGGATTTTCAATAACAGAGATGAAATAGAGACAGTCAAAAAGGCCTAGAGGAAGCAATAACAAAAAAAGAACAAGTCCAGTTGATGTTTTTAGCCTGGTGAACAATACATTTCTCCAGATAAGTACCTACTACCTGAGAGAAACCCCAGGTAGAAGAGTGAGGCAATGTCTGTGGATACAGGACCCTGGAAAAGAACTGGCGTCCTTAGGGTTCTGAAAACAACAACAACAACAATAACAACAACAACAACAAAACTCAAATCCCAAAAATACATTGTCCATGCTGCAAAGAGAGAAAACACTGTATCTACAGTAAGAGACAGTGTAAGACAGTGTAAGAGACAGTGTCATACCCACTTAAGGAACTATGTATGGACTTTCAGCTTCGATGATAATTACATTTGAAGAGCGACGTTGTCTAAGGTTTTATAGTAAAAGTCTCACTCCAAAACTTGTAGCCAGCCATTGAGGTGCCTTAGATAACTCTTGACAGGTAAAAAAGTTGATTCTATTTTCAGTACTGGGACTTTGTTCTTTGTTTTATTCAATAACCTAGGACCCCTTACTAAATAAACTTGTATGGTAACCAGTATTGATAAGAATGCCCTAAAGCCAAAAGAGTTATGATTATCTGCTCCACCTGATAATAAGTTGGGAATTTGCGACTTGGAAAATCCTTGTGCCTTATGTGTAGAATAATGAATGATAAAATATAACATTGGGACTCATCTCTTAAAAGCTAGGGGGCATTCCAAGACCCACAGCTTACTTATCAGCTAGATCCTATAATGTGGATAATAAGACACTTATAGTCCATAGCAGCTGTAGCAATGCTGGTACATGATACTGCAGAAATGACTCCATGCCTGTTCCAGGAGCAAATGTAAACCCATCTTGTTCAGAAGCACAGAAGACATGGACCACCAGTGAGGATACAGGCTGACTGAAAATGCCTAGTGGACTTAAGGACAACAGAAGACTCTGTTGTCTGAAAAGATCAGTGGACACTTATTCAGGAACTTCCACAATCCATGCCACCCAAGCAGAAAGTTAGTTATTCTCATTTGTGTCTTTGAGATTAAAAAAAGAATTATTAAATCTAAAGTCCAAAAAGTCATAAATGCCTGTCTGCTCTGTCTCCAGAATTACCCAGGAGGTGGAACTAAGCTGCTACCTTTCCTTAACCTATTACAGAGGACAGCACATTTGGAGAAAAAGGTAGGCAAGTAGATCTTTACTCAAATGCTTCCCTATCAAGGCTGTAAATGTCTTCTGGTGATTGTTGATGCCTTCTCAGAGAAACAGAGATCTAATCCTACCCAGACTGAAAGAACTCCCGGTCTGATGTTTTATAATCAAACCTGTCCCCACTGAATCCTCCCAGCCTCAGAACATCTTGAGAACATGGTCACTTACTCCGGCCAATTCTGAAAAGATAAACACATTTTTCAAATGAGGAAAAGAAAAAAAAACCTTTAACTTTCTAAATGTCAAAATGGTTCACATTTATAAATCTATGTTTTGTTTTTTGTTTAGGGACTGTTAGCATGGTACATACTCAGAAATTACAATCTCACAGTATTTCCTTTTTAATTTATTGCACCTCTGGATTCCTTCTTGGAATGGTTCTTTTGTTTTGCCACATCCTTAACAGATAAGCCATCAGTATGTTTTATTAAAGCCCAAGGGGTTTTATTCTAAAACTCAAAAGGTATACATGGGGAGCTGGAGGGGGAAAACAAGGGGTGGATGTGATCATTCTCCATTGTGTGCATGTTTGAATGTCTCAAAGAAGAAATTTCTTCAAATATGATACAGACAATGACTCTTAATGCTCTGATAGGAGAACCTGTGCCGTTCCTTGTTACAGTCTTGTGTATATGTACATGACAAGTTAGGCAATGTGTCCTCAGTATAGTTTAGGTGATATTCTACCGTAAGTTCCAATAATTTATTAGCATCATGATTATCAGGCACCTCTTGATAAAGAGGCCCTGATATTTTCATCACTAATTTTAACACAACAATCTACTGTATGCTTTCTTGTTTAGATGGTCAGATGTCCTAATGACTTCATCTCTTCATGATTCCCATGGAATGATTGATCCTCTAGTCTCCAAGCTCAGATCCTCTGTCTTCCTCAGATCAGGCAGATTAAGACTTTTGATTTCTGCATATGCAGTGTTTCCAGCTCTGTTCAGTAGTGAAGACATTTTATAAAACAGATCTTTGACAATCATCTACCCTTAAGATTAAGGAATCAAAGTTTCAGAGGTGGAAATTGAGAGCAAGATGAAAAGACAGAGAAAATTAAGACATGAGAAAGAGAAGGAACCTCTCACTCTGGAGTATGTTAAAATTCTCTCATTATCTAAGGTTCAAGAACCCCATTACAATCAACATTTTCTATCAAGTTTACTTACATAAAGACAATATTTCCTTTATGCAGAGTTTTCAAATAGCAATGTTGTTATAATAGTGATGAATTTGCTTATGGCTTAAGTCTGCACGGTCTTTCTCCTTTTCCAGCTATAAACCTATAATTTTCTAAGATTTTCATAAGAAACCCATTTGTAGTAAAAGACATGTCATAACCCCAAGTGCAAGCCTTGTGACCCAAAGTTTTACTTTATCAGAATGTAGTCCTATCCAAGGCATCTCCGGAGCTACCCTATATTCCCATTTGCCAAAAAGAGGGGAAAAGGAACTATAGTTTCTTTTTTTTTTAATTTTTATTTATTTTTATTTTATGTGTATGTGTATGTGTGCAATACCTACATGTAGGTAAGTGTACCTGTGTTGTGCAATGCCCACGGAGGTCAGAAGAGGCTGTGGGTTCCCTGGGACTGGAGTTATGGACAGTTGTTAGCTGCCATGTGGGTGCTGGGATTCGAACCCGGGTCTTCTGTAAGAACAACCAGTGTTCTTAACTGCTCAGCCATCTCTCCAGCCCCTGTTCTGTTTTTTTTTTTAAAAGACAGGGCTTCATATTGTAGGTCAGGCTGGTCTTGACTCAGTGGTTAGCTTATTTTTATTTTATGTGTATGCGTGTATTGCCTGCGTGTAGGTAAGTGCACCCATGTTGTACAATGCCTGCAGAGGTCAGAAGAGGCTGTCAGATCCCCTGGAACTGGAGTTACAGACAGTTGTTAGCTGTTATGTGGGTGCTGGGATTTGAACCCAGGTCTTCTGCAAGAACAACTAGTGTTCTTAACTGCTGAGCCATCTCTCCACCTCATGGAACTGTAAAGCTTCTTAATAACCCCTTAAATATAACTTGAGAGTCACCAAAATTGTACATATGGCTACTGCTAAGACACTAGAGTGTGACTCTACCCACACTTAGATATACCTTATTCTGTCCAAGTTCTCTCTTCGTATTAGCTCTTATGGTTCAATCTATGTCAAAAATCTCTTCCTAATAAACCCCAACTCTGCTTCATCCTAGCTTGCCCTGAAATGCTTTTGCACAGCAAAGTCAAAAATCCTATTTCACCTGTGTAAAATGCGTATCTGGAAGAACTTTTCAGGCTGTTGCAAATGCCTGCATGGAGTTGTGTCTCTAGTTCTTGATCCCACAGCCATCAATACTATTATATGATGGATAGATGATTAGAAATAGCTGCCTTACCTTTCATTTAAAAATGAGATATGTAAAAAATGAGATATGGTCCAGTATAAATTGTGCTTCAGAGAATAAAATCTCAAAATTATCACTATATATTTTCTTATTGTGTCAGGGGAAAAACAATAAATACCTGCTAGTGTAAGTTGAGAGAAACTGAGCCAATGAATTTTTTTTCTTAAATTGTAAAAAGTTATCAGATGTTGATAAATAAATTTCCAGATACACATAGAAAAGTTTTAAAAGGATGACATGTCTAAACACTTTTTGGATGTTCTAGCCAATAACTTAAAAAAAAAAAAAGAAAAAAAAAACCCTTAGGAATTTTCATTTTCTGAATTTGTGAATCTAAAATTTTATGTTTATATGCATAAAAAATACTTACTTGTGTTTCTGAATGTCTTTCACTCCATTTTTCAAATTTCCTAACCTTTCTGATGGATTATCCCTAAAAATAAAATAACCATTTTGTGAAAAATTGAATATTTTCACATTATGATCCTTTTAAAAATGGTTATTCAAACACTTACCTGCATAGTTTTTTAATTAAATTAGCAGCATTTTTAGCAATCTTCTTCGGAAATTCTATCATGTCAATCCCCCGCAGTATGATGTTATAGGTTTTCATAGGATCTGGGCCTGAGAAAGGTGGGCTGAGAGAATGAAAAACAGAGGAAGAGACAGATTTTCACTCTGACTAAGAGGAGGAGAGTGGTTATGATTTCACAAATGAGTCGATTCTTATGCTAGGACTTACATTAGTTATGAAAAGGGAATGAAATATAAATATTAACAAAGCGCTGTGGAAGCCCTGCCGAGTCGGTATTTGGCAAACAATGAACTGGTGCAATTTGTTTAAGGTAGCTCTCCTTCCTGCTGCCTGTGTTTGGGCACCGTTGTGTCATCCGAACGCTCCGGCTTTTTTCACAATGACTCTCTGGGAGATTATCATAGGCTTCGAAGTTCCTTCTCCAGAAATTATCTTCCAAATACAGATTTGTATGTCTTTGAGGAATAAATCTTATGCATTATTTTATTTTAGCACCTCGTCATTATTAATATCAGTTTGAATTCTTTCCTTTTGAGTTGTGATAGCACTTGTCAACTCTTTTATGTGTGACTTTCTATTTACTTTAATATATTATTAGTTAATAATTGCAATTTTAATCACCATTAGGTAGATAAATATGCAATTCTGTTTAATCTCTTGAGTTCCTACTTCTCTGTGTGATATTGTGATTGAATATTCTCTTTACTCTTTTGACTTGTCAGTTTTTGATCTTTAGTTTAAAAAATGAGAAAACTCTTCAGAATTTTTGTTTATTAATTTAGCGCTTTCTAATTCATGACTTTGGTTTTATATTTGTGTTTATTTTAGACAACTAAAATAATTTATCAAAGATGTCTTTTGTGGATTTTATAAATTATACATGTTTTATTTTACTCTAAGATAGTTATATAGCGTATAAGACAAAATTGCTGAGTCTAAAATAAATTATGTAATGCCCCAAGATATTAATAACAGTCAACATTTGATGAGAATATTTTGTAAAATTTTCTGCACACAGACAGAATTTTGTGTGCATATTAAAATAAAAATATGTTCATTTTAATTTTGATTTAAGCAGAGGAATAACAACATTGAAAGAAATATTAAATTTGAATGTGTAGCTCTTCAGGAATATCATCAATTCCTAAAATACTGCTCTAAAATGAAAAAAAATTAAACTTTTAATTTTGTAATAACAGTTTCAATTATGAAAAAAGTTAAGATTTTTAAGTTTGAATGATGAAAAATAAATATAACTATAGCTGTTCCAGCCTCCTTCTCACATGCCGATTTTGTTGGCTTTGGTTAAAATGGTTAAAGAATATAATATTCATGTTCTATTAAATAACAAATTTAAATTATTTAATCTGCCTTCTAATTATTTATATTAACAGAAAAACATTCTCAATCCATTTTCCAGTTTCTCTGATCTTGGTTACTCTGGCTCTCCTTTTTTCCCTCAGAATGACATAGCTCTTGATATGTTATCTCTGAGCCATAAGGTTGCTGTAGGAAAGGCTCAGTCAGACTAGATCTCTATTCCTCTGCACAGCCATCCCTGTGCATCATGCTTTTGTGCTTCTCCTATTGATACGAGTACTTCTCAATGTTGAATTTGAAAAATCCTTCAGCACCTCATGGCATTTTAATCTGAGCATTCTACCATGGTCACTGCAGAGTCAAAGGATGTAGTGAGTCAAATATTTATGCCTTAATTTATATAATTAAGTATATTTTCTATCCTGTTTGTACTATTCTGTTTTACTCATACGCATGATTGATTCGTTTATTTCCTTTGACATCTGTATCATCTTTTAGGAATTTCCTTGCAGAACAATTATAGGCTCATGGCTATAATTCCAGAACTTGGGAAGCAAAGGAAAGAGGATTTCCTAGATTTTGATGCCTGGCTGGGTTACATACTGAGTTCCAGGCCAGCCTGGCTACAGTGAGAACATACTGAAAAGCAAAACAAAACAAACAAAATGAACAAATAACAAAACAAAAATTCCATGTCATTTTGTTTCCTTTTAAGTGTTTCCCAAATTTATCTGTTATTTCCATAGATACTTATTTTTCACTATCACTCCAATTTGTTTGTTTTTAAACTTTTAAAAATATATATTTTAGTAGAAGCATAGAAACTTTATACAATTGGGTTACAATGATATATTTGGGTAGATGAATATATTGAATAATATTTAAATCAGGTTAAATACATATCTCAAATATTTTATATTTCCTTATACTGACAACTTTCAAATTCCTTCCTCTTAGCACTTTGAAATGTACATTACATCACTGTTTGTCATCATCCCAGTGTGCAATAGCACGCTACAACTTTTGCTTCTGTCTAAGCATAACTCATACCCACGGCAACCTCTCTCCAAGCCTCCTGTTCTCTTCCTCTCCTTGACTGCCTCTCCTCTCCTTTGGCTTCCTCTCCTTGATTTCCTCCCCTGACCCCAGATCAGGTGTTTCAGATTCCACCTATGAGTGCATTCCTAGAGGCCTTGTCTTTTGTGTCTGGCCTGTCCTACTCAACATAGTGATCTTCAGTTCCATTCACATTGCTGTCTGTGGCTGGCTAGTATTCTTTATCACGTATCACTTGATGGAGAGTTAAGTTGTTTCTATTTCTTGACTATTCAAAATGTTTAGACCAACTTGAGAGCACAGATGTCTTTGACATCTGGTTTCATTTCCTTTGGGTGATACCTAATAGTGAGATTGCTGGATCGTATGTTACTTCTATTTTATTTTTTAGGAAAGCTGTGCCTCTCTGAGAAATTCCCTTTCCCTTCCTTTCTACATCTACCTTCTATTCACCTCTAAGGTTTAGCCATGGCCTTATATTGTCCAGAAGCCTTCACATTAGCTGTCTTCTTCTGAACTCCATAGCTCATAGCAACCTGGTTCCTCAGTGCCCACCACAACTATCATGGTACTGTATTCATTTTTCTTTTAGTATTATTTCCTGATGTGCTTGTAGCATGTTTTATGCTATGTAGTATATCTAGTGGCTATTTTAACTGTCACTGATTGTAATATTATGCAAACAATGAGAAATCACTCACATTTCATTTACATGTAAATACTGTTAACAGGCCCTCCTGCTTCTATGGAAATATGATCCTAGAAATTTTGATGTGATTATCATACCCCTTACTTAATTGTTAGCTAAATGA